TCTATAAGATTTCCTCATAGACAACACAGAGTCATCAACCTACACTAAACATTCTCCTTATCTTGACAGAGCACTCCATATTCTTCTGCCCTCTGCACCCAGAAAACACTTGTCCTGAGCACCCTATGGGCGATGGAAACTATTATGGTCACTATTGGCATAGGACACTTGGAGAAGGATTCTGCAGCGATTTCATGTGGTGCTGAGAGCTTTTTCCAGAAGGCCACATTTTTCTTCTGAGACGAAAACAGATGTTGTCAGGGTCTGTGTCCCCTTTTTCTCAAATAACCAAATGCTCCTTCCGTCACCCCCTACTTCAAGAGCTCTCCAGATTTTCTAACCAGCAATTCAAGGACCTTAGTTTCAGGAGTTTTGGCACTCTGATGACATAAGGGAAACAAGATAGAGAAATAGGGAGAGGAAGAGAAGGTGCTGCTGAGAACTTTGCTCATTTACTGAAAGGAGTAGCAAAACTTGTGCTTTACCTGAGTGCAATCAACGAGAAACCAGTACTAAAGGTGACAGTACAAACCACATGGCTCCCTCGTAATCATGGAGAGGGCTCACTTCTCACACGCCAGTCAGAATCAGGGCCAAAGTGTCAGGTTCAGAGAGCTGTCTAAGTGAGCAGGTTGCTCCATGCTCTGTTCCCTTGGATTCACACCCCCCTGAGCTTGGCTCTGCTGTCCTACGCAGCCAAAGGGAGTTCCGAGCTAGTACAGATTTCACCTGTAATTGCTGTGCGCTAACTATTTTAATGAAAAGCTTCACCTTGCCAGCACAGCGCTCTTTAAATTGACCATCTTTGCAATACTTGTGTCTTTTGATCCACTGCCTCTTCTAAAACTGACTAACCTTTGAGTTCATTATGTTCTTCAAATTATCGCTATGTTCTTAAAATCATTGCTCTGCATTCAGAGAGTGAAACTATTCACCAAATTAGTATGTCATATCTGAGCTACCTACCCGCAAATTTCTAGTCTCCCCATTTAAGTGGAATTGACTTGCCATGGCACAATGAAAAGAAGATCAATAATTACAGACTCCAATTTGCCATAGATTTGTTAAACTTCACTTCCTGCTGTCATGCCCTCAACAGTTATGGTCAAAGATTCATCCTTGCAATTTGTTCTAGCTACCTTATATATGCCTCAGTCCTCCAAACATTCGAAGGAAAACAGCTGGAAACATTGCACTGACTGCTGTCAGTGAAGACTGTCTCATATCTACATAACTGTGCCCTCAAGAGGTTTCAGACAGTATAACTTTCACCTCAGCTGTTAGTTCTTCGAAGCAGCCCAACAGAAAGTGTCTGTGGAGCACATCCCGAGACACCGCAGCAGCACTTTGCCGGCCGTGGACTGCAGACCACTGACAGCCACCGCAGAAATGGCGGGCCTTGGGGTGTTGGCTACTTCTTGTCGCCCACCACCAAACCGCCTTAGAAACAGCTAAAAATAATGTTGTTTTTTCATGTAAGGAATTGTTGTAATGGCTTCAGAGCTGCCACATGACCATGCATGGGAAAGGAAGTGGTTCCCAGAACTGCAAATGGGAGGAAAAGTCTATGATGCAATCTTCTTCCTAGGAACATAAACGTGGCGTGTATCACCCCAGAGTCATCTTAAAATATACGTATGCTCTGTAGCCAGGATTATCTGAAATAGCAAATATAGACTAAGTACGTAAGACCAACCCATATCTACAGAGCTCTTCTGATCCCGCATATATCTGCAGTTTCTTGCAGGTTCTGCCATTCAGTTTCTGTGAGAAGAGCAGATTTATGGTATAAGCACTCATGAATAATTCACTCCCTCGAGTTGCCACATACAACTTGGGGAAATCCCAGCTGTAAAACCTTGGCACCGCTCAGCTACTGCAAGCTGCGCTACTTTTATACAGGTGTTATTCCACTGACCTACTTGGAGTTACTCCTCCTTCGCACTGCTAGAAGAAGAGGATCAGGTTGTTTGCTTACCACCTCCGGTAAGAAAAAGTCTCTGCCACCTCTTCACAGCAGTAAACATGCTTCCAGTGTTGGAATAAGTTAATTTTAGCAATCTTAGTGCTTTGGCTCACCACAGCTTCAGGGCCTTGTACATCTCACCCACTCTTGGGCCTCCCATAATACTCCGTTGTCAATCGGCTTAGTTCCTCATCGAGTCTGTGTTTTTAAATCACGCTGAGAAAATTATTTGGATCCTAGACTAATGGAACACCACTGAAGCCATAAACTAGCAACACTGAGCGTGTCCTTATGCTGACTTCTAACTTCAAGAGAAATACGGTTTGTTCCAGCACTCACCCTCCACCACTGGAGCTGGAGCCACAGCAGGGTGTTGGTGCAGGAGACTCAAATGAAAAGAAACAGAAAGTGAAACCACCAAGCTATCCCTTGCACTAACACGGAGGATGAATTCATAGCATCACTCAGTGGGCTGCTTATGTCCCCAGACTTTTTCTTCATATAAAGATAGGAGGGGGTTCTTTTCCTCAATCAAAAAAAAGATACTTATGAGAGTCTGATTTGGTTAAATCTCTAAGTGGAGGCTGATTAAAATGACAGTCACTGTACTGCCACTGAGCCATATTCAAAGCACACATCATGGTACATAACTAAACCTACAACTGTGGTACAGGGAACAAAGAGCTGACATTCCTGGTTAGTAAATAAAGTGAACAGCTCATGGCTATCCTGACATAAAACAGCCTAATAATTATAGTGCCTAGGTTAGACATCTGAATAAATGTAGTCGTGTCATTTAAACAATGAAGCTATACTGATTTACAGCAGCTAAGGATCTGATTAAGGATGTAAGGATCTGATCTTTACCCTAATACGTCCCTTCAATTCATCCAAATGATTGGCTTTCACCATCCGGCCGCTCCCTCGTGTCCCCACAGCTGGGTTTTAAGCAGGTTAAGAAATGACGGGTTCTCACTTTGTTCATTTCTTACACGCTTCCAACAGTGCTGAGTGAAATGAGAGACAACCATAAAAGCCAGCAGAGGGGAAAATTAGACATGCTGTGTAACTAATTTCTGAACTGTAAGCAAAGTTGCTGGCAATTTTCGTTTCATATCACAAGTTCACATTTCTTAGAATTGTCACCTACCGAGGACTAGCGCTACCTGCTCATGCCCTTCCAGGCGGGGTGGGATGTTGCCTGGTCCACTGGGACAAGCTCCACGGGTGGCCACAGTGTGGTCGGAAGGGGCCCCTCACCTCCGTGCACAGGAGCCACCACCCATCCTGCCTCGGAGAAGGGTGCACACCTTCAGCCCACACCCGTGGCATGGGCAAGCAGGGTTCCCCCGGGCGGCTGTAAGCAGACACGGGCATGGCCAGCCCCACTCCATGGGCAGGCAGGGGAGCACGGCGGCGAGAAAGGGGCCAAACACAAATTAAAACCAGAAGAGCAG